TTAAAACCGTTTTGGATTAGCGTCAAAAGTTTATAAATGAACCAAAAGGAGGAGTGTACCGCCTTAAAGAGAGAACTCGCGCCTTATCAGTCCCTATGCGGGTTTGAATATGAGGCCGGGTCATCAAGGCACGTATGAAAGAGCTGAGGTAATGACTTGTGTGTTGGTGGTCCTCGGACTCCCGTCTTGTGCTATCTAAGGTGAGTACTTGTGAATATGATTTTGTTAGCATTAGCTTTGTTTTCGAATAATACTTTGGTCATTTGTTGGTGTCTGGGCGAGTAAGTTCACATGCCGAATTGCAGGCTCTGAAGAAGGCGAAAGCGTCGACACGTTAGCGAATAAAGAAGTGTTGTCAACCTTGGATTCGCTCAGCCAATTTTATTACGAGTATCCACCATGCCAAGGTAGAGACAGCCGAACTTGGACAATCATGAAGGCAACAATTTTTGCAGCAAAGTGCGTAATAGAATCTCAAAGCAAAACTCCGAGCCTGAGAGCTGAAATTCGAAACTCTGAAAGCGGAACTCAGAGGCTTAATATGCATAACTCTGAGTTTTGAGAACAGAACTCTGAGTTATCTCTGACGAGGGAAGTACTTTCAATGGCCGTGGCTGTTTGATATGAGATGCATATCATGAAGCAGCTTCGAACGCTGATTTCAAATCTGCATTACGTTTCTGCGGAACGCTCTTCTGAAGAAAGTTATGGAAGCCTGAACATTCTATTTTGGGGGCGCTCTTTGAGTTTGAGGGCGCTGCTATGTGCGTTGATGGTGCAGTAGTGTAATGATTACTTGCTGACATTGAACGCAAGAGGTTGATGGTTCAAATCCGGTCGAGAGCGAGCCATTTTGCATTTTGAATATGAGTTTAAAAGCACTCCAAATCGTCTGCAGACACTTACTGTAATGCCTTAGCACAAACTGGAGAGAACGTCTTTCCGATTATGACAGTGTGCATTTTTTGAGCTTTATGTGGTGACAAACATGCTAGGCCATGTTTGGTCATGTTTTACTAGTAAGGAATTCAAATAGAATTTCAGACTCTCATTACAAGCAGTTTTGCCAGAAAATTCTTTTTCTAGGTCACTTATGCCAAAGGCATTACAGTAAGTGTTTGCAGGCGATTTAGAGTGCTTTCAAACTCATTCAATAAGCAAAATAGTTTGCTCTCCACCGGATTCGAACCATCAACCTCTCGCCTTCAATGTCAGCAACTAACCACTACAGTGCTGCATTACCAACGCACATAGCAGCGCCTTTAAATTCAAGGAGCGCCCCCCATATAGAATGTTCAGGCTTTCATAACTCTCTTCAGAAGAGCGTTCCGCAGAAACGGAAAGCAGATTTAAAATCAGCGTTTGAAGCTGCTTCAGATGATATGCATCTTATATCAAAAGGCCACGGCCATTGATAGTACTTTCCTTGTGAGTTAGCACGGAACTTTGAACTTGGAGTATCGACAAGATTACTAGCGACCCTGACACTCACAAGCCGACTCAACAAAATTTTGTAAAGTTCCATTTACCTGACTACTAAAACAACATCAAGCAACCCTTCGGGCGCACCGCTAGTGTCTGCAATAGCAGCAACCACTCCCGACTGTCTCTTAAACTGATAATAGACTCAAAAGGTTGTTCTTAAGCGCTCGTTACGCAGAAGCATTCACACGATCAGCATGCCCGATATGCGCCTTATAACTGACCTTAAGAAAAAACATACTCCTATAATCGAGTTGACTGCCGGTGTGGTAAACGCCTGAGGCACCTAGTTTATCCACTCAACCCATTCACAAGCCCTTAAGCAAACATGATTAACGAAATTGAAGGGTGTGTTTATCTTTCACATAACAATCAAACAAATCTGCATGGCAATCAAAACACGCAAAATAGGGAGCATGTAAACCGCTACGCCCCCGTTATCTTTACAAGAACGATTTTGAATCCGAGTAAACCGTTTGGATCAAAGTTCGACTGGGATTTCTACTCAACAGCCCTGAAAATGGAAGAGGTAATGTGAAAAGACAAAAGCACTGACTTGATAATCAGTTAACATCTGCAAGTGAGGGTTAGCTGATTATCAAATCAGTGCTTTTATCTCGTATTGTATGAGGCGCGCATTTAACTGAATCTCTGACTGTAAAAAAATAAGCGTTAGAGCATGCTCGCAAAGGGTATTCAAAACTCCGAAGTCTTTATTATCCTTTTTTACTTTAGGATTTTCAAAAAACTTTGTAGTTTGATTATTTACAAGTATATAATTAGTCACGTCACTAGTTTATGGGGCATGCAGGTGGGTTTCAAATTCGCGACACATTTGGAGGAGTCATGAGGTTTGATTACAATGTGTTTGGTTTAAAAATCAATAACAATCAATTAGAGATAAATACTATCAATACCATTTTGGGCTTATCTCCCTTTTAAAATGTTTACGACTTTTTTAAAAGTTACTTAAAATGAGAAGATTTGACCCTTCAGCGTCTTCTTGAAGTGCTAAGTGAATACTAAAGACCCTTCACTTCATTCCAGTGCAATAACTTGCGATGCGAAGGAAAAGAATAAGAGGTAAGTAATCAAGTTTGAAATTTTTTTCCTTCTACTGTAAAAATAAGAACGGACAAATTATAAAACTATTTAGTAAACAAGATGAATTTTTGAAAATATGTATTCGAAATATTCGATAATGCTTCATAACTGTTGATAATTAGAACATCATTAAACTGGTGTTATTTTATTATTGTAATGTAATGAAAAATCAATAATCAAAAAGAATGTTTGATGATTAAAAAAACCCAAAAAACACGCAAGTAGGGATCTACTTTTCTGCCTCGTTCGTTTGCTTCCCTTCAACCCTCCGATAATGCTCACCCTCTTTGTCCGGGCAGTACCTAAAAAATTCAAATGCCGTGAAATTTGCAATAAAATCTATACAGTGTGCTGCTGCGGAGTGTCCGGTAAAAAATGCAAATCCAGAGGCGCACTTGAATGAAAAGTCAAGGCTTTTTTCGTGCCAGGTTGAAAGGTTCGCAACATCTTGTTCTACAGTGGCAAATTCTCGCTTACCATTGTCTAAGAAAAATTCGTGTATATCAAAGGGGAAATTAATGGCAAAAGACACATTGAACATATCAAAACAAAAATGTGCGATTGGATCACAATAGTTGTTACCAAATCTATCACATGCGTAGCATTTGAACTCAAACAACTGGGTTTGTGCGTTCGATATGACAAATTTGGCGACATCGGCACAAGAATTCCAGTCTTATCAGATGGACTCTGTGCATGTTTAGGCGACTCGTTCAAACTTGGACAAATCGTTGCTTAAAGGCAGCGTCCGGGCAAGTTCCATCTACTCAGATGAGCACATAGTTGTAAAGAGGGGCCAATGAGTGTCCGATTTGCTTGGTCCTGTCCTCTGACGTGGCCTCTAAAAGGAAATACGGGCTTGTGATACGTATCACAATCCGCCCCTTCGTATCACAAACCACCTCTGAGGACGTGTGCTCACGCATCGATCGTGGATTGCAAATGCACTCATGCAGTTGCAGCTCCTCTTCAGCGGCGAGCCGGGGGGGGGATTAACAATCTGAAACTCGTCCGCGTCCTTAAAACAAGGTCCCCAGGAATCGGGTTTTTTGAGGGTTTTGGAATTTGAACTTTATAACTGTAACCAGAGCCACGGAAAGGCCCTAGAACGACGAAAACATGAGAGGCAAAATTTTGCCCGGACGCTGCCTTTGAGCGCCATCGCTTGATTGGGCGCTCACACACACAGTGAAATAGCGTCCGATCAGAAATTGGGAATCAAATACTTTCTCAGCAGTATGGAAAAGACGCCTCATGAAAGTACCCAATTAGCTTATTATTAGCGGAATCTTCGCGGATTCTTATTGCCGATCTGTCGGAGCGCAATCTTTTGGAAGTAATCTAGTCCAGACTAAAAAAAAGTTAGGATGGATACATTTAAACTACCCAAACACTGCAAATTCAACTATCAACTGTACGAATGAACCACTTCTTTATCGGAATATCCAGATATGCGCAATTCCACCTATTGTATTTTCAAGTATTCATAGACCGTTTTTCCCATTATGTCAAATATTCGAATAAGATGACTTTCCGCTTCAACGAATGGAAATTGAGATGATTATCTATACATTTATTCGACTATACGATATTTGCCATAATCTTTTTAAATAGAATTTGAACGATATTCAGTATCAGTTATGGTACATGCTCTTCTTCAAAGCCTATTTTAATGTTATTTTTTTCATCAGATATCTGTCTAATTAAAGAGCATGCATTCTACTCAAGTGCTGCTCCATCCAACAAAGCTGTCCATTTTCGTCAAATTTTTCCAGCAAGGGATTAATACTTGGTCAAAGTGGTACTATGCGGGATACTGTCTTATAGTGCATGGAATTTGATTCTCAGTCTGCTTTCTGTATCTGCAAAGTGCTTCCGTGACCGGGTTTTGGAATTTTTTTGAGACAAATATCTAAGGGTTTGGCCAAGGTAAAACACGTGTTGAGGTCTTTCTGACGCTTGAAATGGGTGATGATTAACATAATCTTATTGAACTGGAGATAATATCTGCATAAAGGCTCTGGCATAATCATGGCTCACTTGAGGTCATAGAATACAGTTCTGAATGATTTCAATGCCGCGCGTTCAAGTTTTTGCTTCAAAAATTGCCAAACTTCCTTCACAGAATAAGCAGATTTAGAACAGCTTTCTACCTTTCATAAGGCAAGATACATCTCATATGAAAACACCACTTCGACCACCCCTCTCCCTTTTTCCCAATTCCACGCAACGTTTTGACTGAAGATCACACAGCATGCACATTCTCTAAAGCCCCCGCGTGGCCGCTGATCGAAAACAAGCTAACAAGCATCAGTTCAAGTACTAGCCTGACAAGAACCGTTTTCACAAAGGTCCTTTTTAGTTTTTTTTTTCTCACAAATACTCTCAAGCGTTTTGCTTAAAGTGTCTCCTACCTCCGCAACATCGTTGATGATGCATTTGTTGCACACTAGTGAGCTTATACGCTTCCTGTGATGTTGCGCTTGATCGATGTATTGCTGAATTTACAATAGTCAAGGCAAATAAAAGAGTTAATAACGCTACCTGCCATGTTATAATAAACTCATCACCTAAAAAAAGACCACGCTGGAGTCTCCTCGCAAGAACCGCACCACTATTGAAATTGGAATATTTGTAGTAAGGCATGTCAATCACAATATATTTCGTGTAGTTACTTAAAAACAGTTATGAGTGCTTTCAAAAGGCAAGAAATTGAATTATCTAAATAAGAACAATCTTTCATGCTATAAATGCTTTATTTAATCTTGCAAAGCAAGCGTCATACTTGAGATGCAACGAAAGTTCGAATAACAGCGTTTTTTTTGCAATTTGAGGACTAGAGTAAGTTTTTACCTGAGATGGTCATTAACCTCAACCTTAGCTTCATGCAACAACAGCCAAAGCAGATGCTAAAAAGATACCTGATGAAGTTTACGTTGCTTTGAAACTGATTATAAATCAAATCCGTTTCGAGATCCTCGACAGGTTTTACATAAGGCTCGGCTCTAAATATCTATTATATACAACGAAAATAAAAATTATATGCATGCTTACAATGTGATATGCATGCTGAAGAGAATATCTGGTTTTTCGTGTTGCACTACCTTTCTCATCGCTTCCGAAAAAGAGGGGCACTCGTTTGACAAGGCAGCACAATCTAATACAATATTGATAAGCCACAGCTATTTTTTCTAACTTATACTGTTTCTTGCGAAAAGTCGGAGTTCATTGAAACGCCCTTTGAGTATTTCGTAAATCAATAAATATGCTCGTTGTGCCACTGAATTTCCTATTACCATTATATTAGCGGTACCATTTCCTTTCTAAAATAAAAACCTTAATTGTTGTAGTCAGTTTTCACTCATTCTTTTTCAAATCGATTAGGGAAAGCTTTGCAAGAAAATTTACTTTCACTTTCCCCATTGTATTTTGCCAGACTGCTAGTTCACGAGAAACACTTATTATTAGTGTATGGTATAAAGTATAGAATCAAACATTCAAAACTATACATTTATGAACCAACAGGCAGAACCAAAAACTACTAGGCAATAGGATGAGATATCTGCTACATTCTAGTACCTACTGCAGTCTAAAAGGAAGAACACTACTTTATTTCTACACCTCACAATTTGTACAGGGACAAACAGCTCTAAAAAGTCTATTCTATCAAACCTTCAGAAACATTAGTAAGCCAACTGCATCTTGATGTGAACGGCAAATTTACAAAAACGATATTATCGGCAGGGTACCTTTGTTGATTTTTTTTGAATTTAACGTCGAGCTGCATAGACACGTATACGACAACGTTTGCAAAGCCTGCCATCCTAATCGAATCATTTGACTGACTTTGCTTTACACATTTTTGAAGCTTACAATTTCCATGTACAATGCGTTTAACGTGGCCAGCGTCGCGTAATGCAGTCACACATCTACGCGCGAGCGTTACCATAGGCGCAGCGTGCAGGGATTATGTTGCGTACAACATTGCGGGCCTTGTTTTTATCGTGGTATCTCGTAATTTTTCCGTTTTTGCAGCAGCTAATTGTCATTTCCCCTGCTTTTACGCTCATATGCGATATTTCTTGGTACCGGATATGGTTTTTTTCGCAGCAAAGAAGGAAGTGTCAATTTTTTGAGCGCTTTTCTTCGTGATATCTTCTACTTCATTCAAGTTTTCCTCGGGAGGCTGATTCCGGATGTAATGATTTATTATATCGACTAGTGTTTCAATGGGAGTAATCGTATATCGTTTAGGTTGACTGAACAGCGCCAACGTGATGTTCACTCAAACTTTTCTCTCAACCTACACGATACAAGATTACATCTTACGATATAATCTTTAGCTGTAAGGAGGAAGAGCACAAATCGTTCTCAGAATCTCAAATGAATGATTAAATTACATTTGAAAGACTTTAAACCTCCATTTTGTTTTCCATTCACGCAGTGATACTTTAAGAGATCTCAGAATGAGCACCAATGTAGAGTTTTAGACAGAAAAGCTCAGAAGTTTGGAGACAGGACAGCGAATAAGCCTAAGAAAGAAGAAGGAAGATTAGCTGAATCAAGGACCACGCTACTTTGTGCGACAGGGTTTCTGCACGCTGCAGCCCACGTAGCTCTCGGGCGCAGGTGCGTGACTGCAGTGCACAGGGCTGGACCCCCGTCGAACGAACTAGGTATGGGTCAGCGATCGGCGCACGTTTCCGCAGATTCTTTGCGAGCGGAATGAATAACCGGTATTATTTTGCATTGCTACTGTCGCATTGACATTACATCGCCGATTGCCTAGTGACCTCCGCACAATTCAAGATGGACAAGTGTTTCGAACGTTCAAGTGTCAATCCGAGTACATCAAGCTTACTCGCAAAACATTGCACGACAATCGACTTCCTACCTCAACGCACAACGAAGGCTTCAGATAAGATTGCAAGTTTTAAGCGCTACAGAAAAGGTTTAAGAACATTTTTGCTAATGTAAAATCTGCACATCACATCTATGAAAAAAAAAACAGTAATTGCAAATATGTACAAAAACAGCAATGTATGTGTTCCGGAGAGCATTTAACGACACAAATCCAAGAGTTAGCTTCCGATAATGCTGGCAAATTTTTTTAGAGCTTTACCGGGCGTTCGACGTTCTGGAAATGCCAACAGCGTTTGAAGTGCTTATCTCACGCTTTGGCTTTGTCAGGCAGTTTATCTGTAATACTCTTTGCTGAGTTTTATCGTCAGAGCAACGCATAGTGTGCCTAAGTAGTAGAATGAAAAACTGCACGAAGGTGGATATGGTGTACTAATTTGAATGTCCAACTGCGAGGCACTTTATGTGGAGAAGCTGAAAAATCATTTAAGATTCAAATGAGAAAACACTTAGCAAATAAGAGCCGCCAGTTATCTTTAGAATTGAAGCGAGGCGCAGAAGAGACAGCTTGACATCACATGAATAGACCAATCACTCTTACAACATTCACAATCACAATCATCTGTCCGAATTTTAGAATATTCGAATTTGCGGCTCAGAAGCAAAAAACGAAAGTGAGTCAAGAAATCAAAAATTTTGCTTTTCGGGACTTGTGCTAAATGATTTAGCATAGAAAAGCATATGTCTTGAATCGAATGTCGCATTTCATGCTACTACCGCAGGATGATCACCAAAGAAGTCCTCCGGTTTTATTCGGTTTTTATGGTCACAGTAAAACTGTTCGATTTTTTCCAAAATTAGAAGTTAACAAATAAAATGTCGTTTTTTGGGTTGATTATGCACTATTTGATGTGTCTCAAAAACTAATTCTCATCAGGACGAAAATTTTTTGTAGTACTAGCGGAGAATCATAGTATGGTTGATGCAAAAGGAATGGCCGATTCGCAAATTCTCACTTTGATGTGCTACCGGTAAAGACTTCCGGAAGCAGCAAGCCTTTCGCAATACAGCGCATACTCATTTATACTCAAACCATAAACGTGAAGAGAAATACAGACTAAAAGACAAAAAAGGTTGTTCTGCGGGAACCTTGTTTTTGACAATTCATAACTTAATTAAAGTTTCTTATTATGAATGATAAGTGGCCTATCTTGTAGCCGCAAGCCAGTAGTACAAAATACAATAATAGGAATTCGAACAAAAAAATTTGCGAGAAAGAAAAAATTGAAATTTAAAATTTCTCAGTTTTTTCAACATTTTTTCAGTGTGCCTCAAAGGAATATAGAAATTTTCTGATTTTCCACGTACTGAACAGTTGGATTTTTTTGCAAAAACTGCTAATAAATGTCCTAGCTCTACGCTTACAGAATTGAGCACAGCTTCGGCGACTGACTTCCTCAGAAGAAAATTATGGGTCATAAAATGACCACACAGCTACCCATGTTTAGGCGGTGATATCTCAGTCTGGATAACTTCAAAGAATGCAGTTAAATATGCATAATGTAGAAAATTTCCATTACATACAATAGCTAAATTTTCGAAGAAATCCCATTGATACGCGCTTGAATTCTGGCCGGAAAAGTGAATGCAATGAAGTTCTGAGTTTGGATGCGATTATTTGAAGCTCAGTAATTTTATAAGAGATGAGGATGAAAACCAGTTTCAAGCACCATTAGAAAGAGCATGAAAACAGGTTTGCGACAATATACTTTATCCATCGTAAAGAAGAAGTATTAATGGAAAAAAGTTGCCCTGAAAAAAGGCTTGGAAAATCGGCCATTTCTTTTGCATCAACCTATATAATTTTACTGTTGTGGGGACAGCGTAGTGCTTCAACACAAGCACGAAAATTTTCGTTTTCTTGATTTAAAATTGTGAAAAGCAAATTTATATGAATGTCCAATAAGGACAGCGTAAGCTTTTTTTTTGTGAAGATATGCTTTTTGCGATTTTTCAAACACTTGCAGTTTTTCAGATATTGGCTTCAATTTCCAAGTATTGAAGGTTTACGCATATGTTCGAATGCTAATTTGTAAAATTTGCTCTGCTCTATCGAACGGTTCGCTTTTTTGTTACTCATTCTGTCTCCCATCACATCCTGGGGGCCAGGATATACAATTGCTTACCTGCGGAATAACTATAAACTAATACAACTATAACTACAACTACAACTATATAACTAATACATAAAGAATCTCGTTCAAGTCTTGCAATTTTTTTTCATTCGATTTTATATAACGGGAAAATATTTGGTAATGTGGCTTTTCGAAATGAGACACATATCATTAAATGCGACTGAAGCCAGTAATCTGATTTTGCCTCCTGGTATTTGAATGTCTGATAATTTACGAACTTTTCCCACATGATGTTTTACATGAATTACAGTCAAAATTATCAAGTAAATGTTTTGATAGATGACTCAGTTATGCCGAGCTCAAAGTAAATATGCTGAACAAGAACAGATTTGAGATGAGCGTTTTAGAAGAGACGTTTTAGAACGTTTTAGCGTTATATACCTGATGATATGGATGCATGTGAAACTTTTATGACGAAAATAATTCAACTTCAAAAAAATTTGCGGCTATTTTCAAAATACAAGTGCCCTCTGCTGAATTGGAATCTACGTTCTGGTGGTTTAAAGTGGATGAAACTATGCATCTGTTGAAAACGTGCTGTACCTTGCTCTCTCTTAACCGCCATGAATTTTAAAAAACTCAAAAGAAGAATTGTTGGAGATGAAAGAGAATTGTAAGACTACACGACTACAGATCACCACAAAAATAGTTGTCTGGAAGGTCTTGCAAACACGCATTGATTTCGCGTCAACCTAATATTAGGTTGTCCCGGAAATTCTGTCGTTCCATTTTTGAAAATTTGTAACTTTGCGCTTTCTCAACGGATTTGCATCCTTTTAACTTTATTTGAAAGCGTATGTCTCTCGCTTTCGAATACTTTCCCTTCTAGCTTCTGACACATGCTGACTGCAGAGACAAAAATGGAAAGAAGACCATATAAACTTTTATCATTTTAAGTTAGGTCGCCAAAAGTCTAAAACGCTGCGGAAAACTCTGAAGACGTAAGTGCACAGATACTTTGACCTATTCTTTGCAGCAGTGAAAAGTTTGTGCTGTTTGGAAGTTTCTGTGAAAAGTTACAATTTCGAATTCACTGCAGAAAATGCCAAAACTAATTAATTTGTCCCTTTTCTCGAAAATTATAACTTTTCACAGACACATTCAAACAGCACAGACTTTTCACAGCTGTAAAGAGTAGGTCCTGTGTACTTACGTTTTCAGAATTTTGCGCAGCGGTACAGGTTTTTGGCGACCTAACTTGAAATTATCAAAGTTTGTATGGTCTTCTTTTCCATTTTTATCTCTGCATTCAGTGTGTTTTAGAAGCT